GTTGACTGTACCGATAGTGGCTGAGAAAAGCAGCACAAGTGACCTGAGATTTAGAAGGCACACAACCCTTATTGTAAATAGATTTTCTTTCTGGCTAACAGCTTTGACTTAAAGGAAATAAGAGTCGTATTTACACACAAGAAAGAGTAGACAGTGATTTCATAGAGCAGAGAGTCAGCCACTAGATAAAGGCTTGAGCAATATGAGCTCAAGAAAAAGCTGTCAAGAAAAATAGAGAAAAAACTCTTTTCTGTGTGTCTGATAAGCAGACACCTTGTTTTGAATGAGAAAAGCTTAACCTGCCATAAAATATTCCTGCACAAAATACAGTTTGGGTTGCACGTAATTTCCAAAAACAACTTAAAAATTGCCAGCAGCTTCCACGTTAGGTATCTCTTTAAAATATGTAATTACTTCTAAATAAATAGCTAAACAGAAGCGGGGACCATGTCAATGTTTTTTCAGTTCAGGTAGATTCTTGACAGTGAGGTCTTGGTTAGCTCGTTTGTCTTGCTTTGTGAAATTATGTGCCATTAATTCACCATCTTCAGCAAATCCTCTGCAGAAATAACCACAGGCAACAGCCCTGCTGTCGATTCTGTTGAGATTTGACAGCTTCTGTTTCCTAAATCTATCACTTCACTGAGACTTCTGAGCACACTTTTCATATCCCTCCATTCTCATTATCCCGCTAAGGTCCTTATAACATATGGTCCTATTTTCCTAATTGCTTTCACCGTTACACATCAAACCAAACTAATCTTTCAAATCGTCAGGCTAATCAGTACAAAATGCATGGCCACTGTTTGCACACATGCCAGTAACAAGAGGAGAACAAGACCTACACAAATCAGCAAATGCCACCGAGTCCCAGCTGGGCTGTTTATTTTTTTCTTTGTTTCCTAAGACTATCTCAGATACATCTTCACTCTCATTTGCATTTTAAGAGTAATTTTCTTGGCAAAGAACTTTTAGCCACGATGATCAATGTCCGATTTCTTGGACCTTCACTACGAAACCTGCAGGATAGATAGATAAGTSGAATGGCCAAAATTATTCACTACATTATTTCTATTCCTAAGAAAACACAGCATGTTATTTAATCATTTTTACAGCAGCGAAAGTGTAGATAGTCACAGATATAATTACGCATCAGTGGTAGGTTTCTTATTTGCTTAAAAAAAAAAAAGTAACATGCAGTCTGTGATTTACTTATTATACCTCTGGCACACCACAGCAAGCCTGACTGTTGCCCTAAGACTTGTTGCCTGAGAGCACGTGGAGGGAGGCAAGGGAAGATACTGGTTTTGTATCTTTTTAGGATATAATTGGGTACTATAAAGAACAATACCTAAATTCTATGCTTGCATTCTACAAATATTTTTGGTTTTAGGATTTTGGTATGCCAGCTGACATGTTCTACACAATTCCAGATGAGTTTTGCAAATTTGGCAGACCTAAATCAACTCCTACTAGACAAAATGTCCTTGCCAATCAGCTCCTCAAATTGTCCCTCCATCCATTGTGGATATACCAGAGCAGAAGCTTGATAGCATTTTCTCAGTGGACTACATTAGAGCTATAACCCTTTTTAATTTAAAAGCTTGGTGCCAAGGAATCATCAGTTTATCAGATCAGATTCTAAACCATCGTTAATCATAAGTAAATAGTTCAGACATAATTAATACAAATGCTCAGAAGCCTTCCTTACAAATTAGTTCCTGTAAAAGCAATTTAGAAGTTTCTCCACCTCCCTTCTCGGTGGACAACGCTGTAGCATGATTCTGGTTATAGGTGTCAGGGGGTTGGGGTTCTTGCAAGGGCTAGAGTCCATGGGCCTCAGTTCAGCCATTAACGAATCTTTAAGAAGTGAACAGGATCTACGTCCCTCTCCAAGGGAGCCAAGGCAGAAATCAGGGGTTCTCATTTTATTTTCCTCACGTGCCTCAGGTTTAATGCATCTGCAATGGGAATTAGGAAGTTGTCACCCCTAAGAGAACCTAACTACTGCTCCACRGAAATGTATGTACTCATACTGGGTCCCTATTCAGTGCTTTCATTTGATCTTTAGTCTAAAGCTATATCTGAAGTAACATCAAAGCAGACTTTTAGAATGGTTTTCCTTACATGTATTACACAGATTTTACTTTTTTTAATCCAACTGACGCATGACTTCAGACTAGACATCAAGTAGTTATTCAACTTAAGGTACACGGCAGAGCTAGAAAAGGTTCCTAGGAGAACAGTAAAGACCAGGAGATATACAGAGCAGGTTCTTTGTAGGGAAAGGTTAAATAAGCTTGAACATGTCTAATAGGGAAATAAAGGGCTGACATGTGACATGACCAGGAAAAGATATGACCAACAGAGAAAAAGCTAATAGGGAACAATTAGCTATCATTTGTTCCCACATAAGAGTTTAGGAGGGCACATTAAATTAAATTATACAATTCAAAAATAAGCGAAGGGCTTTTTTTTTTTTTTTTTAATGCTGTCATAATTAAGCTGTGGCGCTAATTACTATAAGGATACTGAAATCATGAAAAGGGAAAAGGTTCAGGACCAATTAAACAAAAACTAGGAAGGAGAGTACTTCTGGGGCTAATCTGCATTGGATGCACAGGTTTGAATGTAGGCTCGGATGTTCCTAAGCCACAAGGGTTATTGCAGGGTGGGAGGCTCCAGGGGTATCATTCTCCAGGGCTCCCATTCTTATTCCTTAGATATTTGTTAACAGCCACTGTCAGAGACAAGGTGCTGAACTCAGTGGTTCTACAGACTGTTCCCAGCACAGTGATGTTTATGTTTTATACACTGACTGACATCACCCATGCATGTAGAGGAGCTATGCAAGCCTCGTGCCAGCGACACCATTTAAAATGGTGAATTCAGCAATCTGTGGAAGAGGTACCTCCCAAATCGATGTGCAGTATCAGGGCACTGATATGTGCTCAGTGCTAGCAGATCAGGCTCCAGCGTGGGACAAGAGCACAGGAGTCAGGCAGAAAGAGGCCTGGAACCAGAGTGACTCTTGGTGACGTCAATTAGGAAAGTGCTTGCTAAAATTCAGCTAACAACACAAAGAAAACTAGCTGTAATTAAGAAAATTGTGTGCTTCTCTGCATTACAGAGGGTCTCTGAAGGGAAGGGATGCTTAGGAACTTGGATTTTCAGATTCAGATAATTAAGTTCAGCATTAGAGGCTTATTAAAATATATTGCCCAAGAGACCGGACTAGCTTAAGATGGCAGGGTACAAAATTCTCAGAGATAGAGAGAACAAAGCTGTGAGGCCCAAATGACCTTTTACTGTTCTTGACTATCTTCTGTTACAGTGTTTGAAAAGGAAGATTGCCAAAGAGATGGAGCATTTAACCAGTTTAGGAAACAACATGACAAAGTCAAAAGAGATTTAGGAAAAAAAAAACCCAACCTTGTATTTCATATGAAGTGTTACGGGTCAGTTAAGRTCAGTCAGAAGTTGTAAGGAAGTTGCCTTCACTTTTGTGTTATTATAAGCCAAAAGATACAAAGACCTAGCTCCAAATTTGTTGTGACTTTTTACATCCACATGATACCCCCTGCTGACTGTGCTGGACAGGACAGTTCTTTGTATGAAAAAGACGAAAACCAAAGCTGGGAAGTGCATATCAAAGCTAAAGATCATCTATTTTACAGCACTAAATGCCTAAACAGTTCAAGTCAGTTAGATGCAACAATAATCTAAGGAACTGAAGAACAAGAAGGAAATTTCTCTGCTCAGTTATCAGGCTGAGAAAACGTTATAGAGCCTGGGTAGATATCTGGTACCACCTGGCAGAAAGATTAGAGAAGTTTTGTTACATCTCATGCCCATCCCCATGCACAAAATTGAGGAGTTAATAATTTATTAACGTTTGCTGTTAATATTGCACAGTCAAGCATTCGTAAGCCAGGTTGTCGGGGCAACCTTAGGTTTGCTCTCCCACGCACATATATTGATGTGCTTTGTAATTACAACATGACAACCCATTATTTCCATAGGACCCCTGGCTCGCACGGTGCCTATATCAGCCAGGGCTCCTTTAATGAGAGAAACTAGTCAATATTTTATTGCAGCGTCATTGCTCCCTGTGCCACTTGTATCATATTTACCAGCACTTTTTAAGCACTGCACTGAAGACAGAGCTGATGAATCCTCCCCTGACTTTCTAACAGCATTTATTATGTCCAGTCTAGTTAATATTTTTCCTTTTGAAAACATGGAGGAACATTTTGAAAAGATTTTGTTTCAATGTTTCAGAAAGAAAATGTTTCACTATAGACAAGACGCCATTTTGTTTCCCATTAAAAGCTGCCCTGAGCATAAACTATCATAACCCGAAAATAGGTTACCAATTAGATGGAGTTAAACATGTTTGGTAGTCCAGATTATTTGGCGTTGTCATTTTGTTTGTGCTCTGTGCAACTCAGAATTTCCTTCTCCTCCCCGCTATGTTTGGATCACTCCAAAGCACCAGAAAACTCATTCATACCCAAAATAATCCATTCTCAGGATATTGCAAACAGGGATGACCTGATTGACGCAGAGACCAGGCCTTACCACCATCCCTCCAACCTCCATCGACTTAAAGAAGTTTATATAACTTCAGGGCGATTAAGTTAAAATAGGACAGTATTCCCTTCTCAAAGCTAAAATAATCTGTGCTTGTTTTTAAACACCATCATGAATCACTTTTATCTTTACTTTCTTGAGATATTTTTTATTTCTTTAGATAAATTTATTTTTTCTCTTTTTCCTCAGTTGTGCAGTATCCATTCTAGCTCTATGTGAAAACTCCTCAGATGAATATTTTATTCATTTACTTTTTGGTGAGTAATTGTCCTCATTTTAAGCCAGAAGACAGTTAACCTTTTGAGACAGTCAATTGCCCTCTCTATGTACCTATTGCTGTTCTTACTGGTAGAGTTAGACTAAAACTTAATAACCTAGAAAAGCTGAAGCATTAACTTTGCTCTGACAAAAAAAAAACTCATTCAAAGTTTTAAGGACAAATTTTCAAGGGAACTTGAAGGATTTGGTTCTCAGAGAACTACAGTTTAGTAGAGTTAGAAACCTGAAGAGCTTAGTACATACATCTTGGTTCACGCAAATGAGAAAAACATTTACGGTGTCTTTTTTAAGCTTTGTTGTAATATCTACTTTAGCTTTAAGAATATTACTGAAAGGTATTACAATATACAAGGAAAGCATGCAAATATAAATATCCCTCTTATCAGCTGGAAAATCTCATTCTGTTTTAGAAAACTATCCATATGTGCTTAAAGTAATTGATAATCACCTTTAACAAACACACAAAGATATTGTAATTATCTATAGGCATAATTCTACATATATTAAAAAAATCTATTAGAGAATGCATTCTATGTATTATATATGCAAAACAAACACTACAGTGCAATGTTCCTAGAATACTACCTTTGATAGTAACCAAATAAACTTCAAGTCAGAAGAGGCTGTGCAAGCACAGCAGAACCATGACTCTTTAAAAGTTTATATGCAAAACTCTACCATGTCTTCTGCAAGCTGATCTTGAAAGACGAGAAATGCAATTGTGTCCTGGTGGTGAGACTGTCCATTTGGCTAGAAGCAGCTACTGTTCCTTTGGCTTTCTCTTCTCTTAGACCCTTATAGAGGCTGGTTTAGGACAGCTGAGAGAGGAAGACACAAGATGAGAAGAGAGTTTAACTGGACCCATTCATCAGTGGTGATGATGAGAGAGGGGTAAAAAGAGGACAGCAAAGGTGGGAGCAGACTGAAGACAAACCATCAACCAGTCTGGGACATACCATCCTCTAGCAGGCTGCAAGAACAGGTTGAGGAGAAGGCCACATGATCCTGCACTTGTTTCCTGTGCTCCAAGCTCTTTGGTCTCCTCTGACTGCCCAGTCTCGTGCAGATGCATATCACACRTTGCTCTGTGAGAACTGGTAGCAGCTACTGTGAGCCCTTGGGCTTCCTTTTCAGATCYAACAGCTTGTAGATTAGAATCAGGTGAGCTTAGCAAACTCCTTTTACTCATCCCATTTGCAGAGAAAGATCCCATATCTAAATGTGTTTATGTGAGCTTGAAAAATTCATATTAAAATTAATCAGTTTCATAAGCATTTTAAAGTCTTGATTCCTCAAATTTTAGGAGTATTTACTGCTCAGAAAAGTTTTTTTTTTTTTTTTGTAGAAAAACTTTTGTAGAAATATTGCTAAATCCATCTGCCTAGAAGTGAAAACTTGCATATACTCCTTAAAAGCCTAAAGATGACACATTCCTCTGATATGTTTATTTTCAGATGTTTTGTATCCAAAATGACAAAATTTTCTTAAATTATAGTGCTGGGAATTATATTTTTGTGACACTTTGATCTTGCTTCAACTGATGGTGGAGTTAAGAAGTTAACAAACCGTAACTATTCTTTAGGCAATCATTATCTTACATTTCTTAAGCCATTTTCTTGCCAAAACTAGAAAGAAATATCCCTACAACATTTTAAAAAGAGACAATACCTACTTTAGTGATGAACTCCTATAAAGCCTTTGTGAGAACTGAACTTAAGAAGCTATATTGAAAGTTGGAAGACTTTCTTTGTATGAATAAGAATGAACTGATCTGGAACAGGATTTTGGTTTCTTTGCATTCCTTTAAAACCTTTAAAACTGACCTGAATGAAAAATATGAAGTGGTAACTTTTTAACAATATAGAGTAACTTTTGGCCAAAGAGGCAGAGGACACCTAGGCACCAGTAAAAACTAAAATATATTTTATTTAATTATAATTATAATTTAATTATAATTATCACTGAGGTTCTGCCAAATACTTACAGTCCAATCTTGTCTTCTCATGCTTTTACTGGAATAATTGGATGATAATGTGAGGTGTGATGATAATATCATCAGCTTTTCTACCATGAGCTTCTTCTGCTCACACTAGTTAAGATTATGCGGCTAGAAAGGAGATGACAGCTAACTTTGATAAATGTTATGAAACAATGTTATGTCACTTGCAATTACATATTTTTAATTTTAACCTATTTTGCTGTTCCAAAACACTTCCTCCTACAACTTTTGAATAACTGATTTAATTATTTTCTTTGATCCCATAGGAATCGATTAAATATTCAGCATTGACCCTTTCTAAACCTGTTTACTTYATCAAACACAGGTCACGTGACCTTACATGAAATTACTTTGCCTCTTTATCAACAGCTTCAGTTTTCTCTGCACTTACAGGACAAAATACTCCAAGGCATAACACATTTTGACCTTTTCCTTCCAAAGACACTCAACTGGTCAAGCACAGATCTACTCAGAAATTTGCAGTCTTTGTCAAAGCTCTACACAAAAATTCTTATAAAAAAACCTGATAACTGATGCAGCCACTGCTTTTGTTGCTTTGTAGTTTCTTACTAATAGAAAACATTGAAATGAATAGATGGCTTCCTGAGAGAACAACAAAACCCAGGTGGCTAAGGAAGTCCTGCTGCCAGGCGTACAATGAATTGAGGTGAGATCTGCCATTCATTTTCTTTCTTATTTTTTTCCTCACTGACCTACACATTCAAGGAATTCTGAGGACAGCACATCTTGGTACTTCACCACTGATAACTGCTGCAAAAACCTCTGCCTCAGTCTATTCCTGCTCCCTGTCACTCACTGCCCTTTCTTTCTGGCACCACTTTCCTGGATATTTCACCAAGCCTGTGGTGGCTTCCGCTCCTTCCGCAATAAAACAGTGGTGCAGAAAATCATATAAGTATACAGGTTGAGAGAAGTGGAGTTAGAAACCTGAGTAACTTAATATCCAGCTAAAATATTGCCCAGGGAGGTTGTTCATTCTTCATGCTTGGAGATGGCCAAAACCCAGCTGGATATGAGTCTGGACAACCTGCTCTTAGCTGACCCTGTTCGAGCAGGGCGTTGGACCAGGTGATCTCCAGATGTTCCTACCAACTACAGTTATTCTGTGATTCTGTAATTCTGCTTTTGACCTAGGCTAAAAGCCATAGTACTCTGCCTTAGCCTGTGCTGGCATCAAGAGGCAGTTTACCCATATGAAATAGAAAAGACTGTCCCTTTTGGAAATGCATGCAAAAAAAAATATCATCTCCTATCAGCAAAATCACCATCAAGTGTTTTCTTTTGTGGCAATGTCCAATAAAGAGGTACAAAATACAGATGAGTGCAAGGGAAAGCAAGAGTTTGTCCTTGTTCATATTCTCCAATGTGGTGGCCTCATGTGGGGCCCCTCAGAGTGTTCCTGTTGTCATGAGTTGACTAAAGTAATGGAGAGGTCGCAGATATCATTTTCACAACAGGAACCAGTTTAAACATCTCAAACACTGCAGCACTGTCCTGTGCAGGAAGATTTGTCACTGCAGGAGTGTGTCCTGCAGTCAGAGAAGAGGCTGCTTAGAGCACATCTATTCAGCATGTCTGTAGGACGAGCACCCAGACGTGGCCACACACTGCACCAGCATGAGCCAGCTGGTTCCCACGGTCGAGGACACCAGATGGGCCTTGGAGTGCGATGGTGGGGAAACTCATACTAATAGTAGGCAATTTGCACATTTTTTGTGGACATATTTTTGTAATTTATGTAGGGACTACAATATCCATGACACGCAATGTGCCTCAGCACAGCTGTGCAGAGGCTGTTCCTTGGCTCTGGGGATACTTGAGAGCACAGCTGTAGGGGTAGGGTCTCCTTGTACTTTCAAGAGGCAAYAATAAATTTTCTTCTGTTGATATGCTGCCTTCATGATTCATTTGGAAAATTTATTTGCTATTCAGCATGTCTCAGTTCTTTGAAAATCAGTAAAAAACATATGCACAATTTCTTGCTACCACTCTTTCTATGCTTTCTTAACTACTGAAGCAGGCAATGCCTTAGACAATGTCCGTTTATTAAGTCTTCAGTGTACTCATAATTTTTATCTTTATCTGTTAGAGCTTTACAGCCACTCCTCCTGATCAATGCCTGGAAGTTCAAGAAATATGAAATACGTCCGATTCTCCTAAGAAGTTTCAAATACTCCTTCACATTCCCAGAAAATCGAGTAGTGATTATTATATAATTTTTGTAAATCATAAAATGGTCCCTCAAAGTTTTCTTTCATAATATACTCATGGTTTAAGAGAAGCAATTATGGCAGTAACTTCCACAATCTGATAGCTCGATGATTTCATTAATAATCAATAAAAGAGGTTTCTTCTTTAAGGATCTTATTCACCAAGAAGGAATATTCTAGTTTAAGGCAAAAATTTAATACAGATGGATGATGACAACATCAGCAGAAAGATCTTCAGGTATTTACATATTTTTCTGATTCCAAAACACATTAGAGGAGTCAGGTACATTTTGCATTCACTTTTGAGCACTGTGAACACCGTGAATTTAATAATACAAAGGGTTCCAAGTGGCTGCTAGCATAATACTAAATACAGTCTGTGTTTCTCATGGCTTCTGGCAATTTATTTTTTCCTAAATGACAATCTTGATAAGAGTACACTGACTTTTTCATGTGTTTGCTGAGTTCCTCCCATTTTGCTACTCAGAAACTTCAGCAGCAGCAAAATGACATAGCAGATACCAGACATAAAACTGTGCTGCAAATCTTCAGTGTATAGTTGTGTGGAAATCTCTCTTTTTTTTTTTTTCTTTTTTTTTTTTTTTCCCCTGCAAAGTCTGTATTTATATCTTGAACATCTTGCTTTTATATATCCAAGTAAAAATTTATATTCCCTGATGGTATCAGAGAATTGCTTGCAGCTGAATAGATACTGCTCACATTTTCCTGCTAATATAATGGTAGTAGCATTGTTATAGCTGCAATGGTCTTCTTACAATACACGTGAAACAAGGTTGGGAGGAGAGGCAATATCTTTTATTAAACCAGTTGACATAGTTGGAAGAATGAGTCTGTGCMCTGGTAGAGGTTTAATTTCTGAGAATCATCTGTTTTTCTCTCTGCTGAGATCAATTGGTCTTCTTCCGACAACTGCTTTGCAATTAATTCACCTCAGTGATGCTGGGGAAGTCTCCAACCTTTGCTGCTGCTGACACCAGCACAGARGGACATGAAAATATTGCTCTCAGTTGACATCAAGAGCCTCTTGGATGCAAACTATCCAAATCCCTGCAAAGGAAGAGGGGATCCTCCATTCTAGCTGGACCTGCTACCAAACAAAGGAGAATAAGCTCTACTTGCAGAAGGGCTGAAAAAATCCAAGAATGAGAATGCTCTTCATTTATGGGCCCATGGAAGCTGGCAAATTTTCACCCTATCACAAACAGAGCCATCTGTCCTGTCCATGTGTCACTAATGCTGGATATTTCGTGCCAACTGGGGTCATGACCATTCACTGAACAGAGCCRAAGAGTAACTTCCCTGAAGCAGAGCTCAAGGTAGAAGATGCCTAAAGATATTGCCTTTGCTGTCAAAAATGCTGACCTTCAACAGTAAGAGAAAGCACAGAGTCATTTATTTATCACGTATTCCACAGCAGCACTCTCTTTGCAGGCAGGTATCGCAGTCATGCCTTCAGCACGATGGTTTTAATGAGGTGCTTGATCCTTATGTAAAATCAGCACCACAGCCCTGGATGCAGCAAGAACTAACAAGGAACTATAAATGGCCCAATTACCAAGCTGAAATGTCATTCACACGTTTGTTATCTCCCACACCAACAAGGAAAAATAACACAGGAACACAGTAGCTGACGGCAAATTGCAATTACTGTTGATTGAACTAGAACTGTTGAAACCCTTCATRCAATTCCAAGCTTTAAAATTTAACGCAGACTATATTGAGTTTCAAACATCAGTTAGGTTCATTAATTTTTTGCTTAAGGTTTGCCAAAAGTTGCAATATCCTTATTAATAATATTAGCAACCATAAGTGCTGCCTACGTTATACTAAGCCCTTAGCTCTTGAGCTGAATTAATTCAGGAGCAGCAGAGATTTGAGATTCCAG